TTGGTCGAATTTTAAAAATGTGTACCCCACATCCCGGTTTTTTCTCACTTGTTTTCAAACTGTGTCGAAGTGTTTGGAACAATAAGATTCTATCACGAGCAAACGTACATTGTCTATCGTAGTTTACGTTCTTTGGCATACTTTAGGCAGGATACTGATTTAATATTCATTCTTTATAAGTGCAAAAATATCAACTTCTTACATCGAAGCGGAGCATTTGTCCTCCATTTTTGTGTGTCCTAATCCCGTCCGATGACGTAGATTCTCCGCCGTGAATATGGCATAACCCCAGCACCAACTCTTCAAAGGTTCTTAACATATGCTAAATTACTGGTTTCGACTAGAAACATTACATCCATCTTTTGTTCTACTCAAAGAAGCATACTCGGTCTCAAAAAGCCTCTTTTTAGAAAATAAACCATCATGGTTTGCATCCATTGAGACAATTTTGGGTCATTTAACTGCTTTCAAAAATATTGACTTATCAAAATATAGTACTTGTTCATGTAAAAAGTCATCATGTATTATAAGACAATATTTTATAAACCAATGGTATAGAGAAAATAGGCAGCAAAATGATGGTAAACTAAGAACTTATTCCATCTTCAAAACCAATTTTGGAAGAGAACACTATCTCCATATTGTCAATAACTATGAGCAGAGGAAAAATATAACTAAACTTCGCATTTCTGCACATCAATTAAATATTGAAAGGGGAAGATATGCAGGACTTCCCCCTGAATCTAGAAAGTGTTCTCAATGTAATATACAGGAAGTTGAAGATGAACAACATTTTTTGCTCATTTGTCCAAAATACAGCAATGAAAGGTTGCAATTAATGGAAACAATATCAAAAATCAACCCAAACTTCTCTTATTTGACACCTGCTGAAAAACTTATATGGATATTGAATAATGAAAATAAAGAAATTTTATGCTTACTTGGAAAATTTATTTCTGAAAATGGTAAAAGAACCAATGTATAATTACATAGGTTCTGTCATCATGTTTATGCATGCTAAGCCATTTAAATTTATACATGTATAGCATCACATTTTTGTATTGTTTTGCGATCATTGACTTGTATTATGTATGATCATTGACACTGAGAACAATATTATTATGTAACTTGGTCATTTATATAACTGTTAAAAAAAACATTATACTGTTAAAAAAAAGAAAAAGAATGTTTAAATTGTACATTTATAATGTTGAAATGCCTCTCGGGGCCCTTGATTGGTAAATAAAAATAATATCTTGTATTTATTTTTAACCAAGGAAAGTTCTTATCACAAGAAATATACATAGTGTTTAAACAATAAATGACTAACACTAGCCGTTCAAAGATATGTCCAAGGTTTCAAGTTTGGTGAAGTTTTGCATCAGTGGGTCAAACGGGAAGGTCAAGAGATCAAATACGTTGGTGCCAAAGAAAAGGCATTACCACAAGGAATACACATGTGGAATAAGAAAGCCGTACAGCTCAAATCACTGACAGATAGACGGATGGACTGAGCAAAAATCTTCCTTTACGGGGACATAACTAGGGCAGGATATGCAGTGTGAAAAAAATCTCCACACTTTGCGAAAAAAAAGAAACAGAGAAATAGAATTTGTTAAATCTTTTAAAATTAGCCTTCAAGTCTAACATTAACTCAGGTGAGTGTTTTTGTCTGAGGTTCCTTGTAAGACTGTTGACATATTTTTTTTCTGTCCTTGTAGACTTGACGTGGTGGGGATATACTTCGTCATGTTGGAACAGGTGTTCCATTCTCTACTCAAGGTACAAATCAAAAAGCATCGGTTCTGTCCATTTTATTGTCGGTAAAGTATTATTCCTCTTTAGTTGATGAAAAAAGATATAAAAGAAATAAGGATGTAGACTCATTCTCTTTCAGGTGTGTGTGGTATTGGTGCTATTTTTACTGGCCTTCTCTCAGGCGTTTTTTATCACAATGGCACAAACGGTAAGAGAAAAACCAGAACTCAAGTTGGAATAAAATTAACAGTAAAAAGATTTAGAAAAAAACAAACTTACGTCACTCTATAAATCTTTTTTACAGTCGGGCTTTAAGAATGACCAGCCCTACCCCCTGACTGTTCTCTCCATGACCTTGGGGGAGATTAACTATATTGACAACTTTATGAGTGGTGCTGATGCTGCCTTCTATGTGGACAACCTCATTCTATTCCTTCTCTTCGCTCTCATCATGCCGATATCACTGATGAACTTGTTGGTATGTCACAGAGTTTTGCTGGATTCCAAAGACTGCTTATATTAATGATACGTGCTAAGCAGGTTTTATCTAATTAAAATAAAAAAAAAAATACTGTGATGCAAAGACTTTCATGAAGATTAAAAGATTGTTAAGCTATATATACAGACAATAAGTTTTTCTGATACAGATAGGTATAGCTGTAGGGGACATAGAGGCTGTACAGAAGAAAGCGTACATAACCAGACTCTCAATACAGGTATCACAATGTCAAACAAAACAAAATATACACAATAATAAACCTGTATCATCAGAACAGTGCATGTTGATCAAAGTCTTTATTAATGGCTGTATTACAATGTTTCACAGATCTGAAATTGACATGAATATTTTCCTATTTCAGATTGACTTTTTATGCAACACGGAAATCACTTTTCCCAGATATTTTCAAAAAAAGTTTTATAAAAGGAACCTGACAGTCATACCAAATAAAAATATTAACTCAAGATTTAATAGGGTAAGAATTTATTTCATTTCTCTTATATCAGATATAATTTTAAGGTACCATACATTTTAATTACTTTGATTTTTCAGTTCTATAAATTTCTGTTCGGTGAACCACATAACAGCCACACCTTTATAAAAGAAGAGAAACCAGATTATATTAAAGAGACTGTACAAAAACTACAGGAGGATGTCAGAAAAACAAAGCAACAGTGAGTCACGTGATCATTCTAAACCTACTGAAACAATTGTTGGTTGTCGTAATAGTGACAATGTTTGTCAATTGTCGTTAAACTATAACAAAATAATTCTTCCATTTAATGCAAAATAAAGACTCAGATTTACATTTTGGTTTTAATGACCATAATATTTATAGCCAGCACTTTTTTCGTACAAGTAAATTATACATCTGAAATGCTTTAAATACAGTGGTTTTACTGATCAAATTACGAATGCCAGTTTTTATTTCTGTTGTGTAGACTGGCACAAGCGACTTCGATGCAGAAGCAGTCTCTGGAGTTACTGAAGCAGATGTGTGACCAGCTTAATGTCCATTATAAACTGGACAATATCTCACTGGTAGAATCTCACAAGACGGACATACACAGCAGACTGGACTTCCATTAGTCACTTCACAAACTCCAGATAGTCACAGTAGACTAGACTACAGATAGTCACAGTGGACTAGTCTACAGATAGTCATAGAAGACTAGACTACAGGTAGTCACAGATGAGACTACAGATAGTCACAGTAGAATCTCACAAGACAGACATAGACAACAGACGGGACTTTCATTAGTCACCATTCAAACTTCAGAGACTAGACTATAGGTACACCGTATTCACAGAAGTTTGGACAACAGCTATATAGTCAAAGAAGACTGTTCTACACCTTGTAAAATTAAAGTAGACTAAAGTAGACTATACAGAAATATTCACAGGGCACAGAATTATAGACAATCACAGATCACAGTTCACTAGACTAAGATAGTCACAGTAATCTGAACTTCTATTATAACTACTGTACTATGGACGTCAGACAGGCAAAAATGCTCAGTTGTTGCACATTATTTATTCAACTTTTTTCCCCTTTTTTTTTTATTATTTATTAATTGTTATTTGCTTTAAACATTACATGTTTGTTTTATATGTATCTGTATCAGGTGATGAAATAAAAATCTTATTACAATTCACAATTTGTTGTCTTTTATACTCTAAGTGATGTAAGAGTTTTCAGTTTTCTTTCCCTCTTTGGATTTTATGCATTAAGTCAAATGCTGATTTACGTTTTTCGTACTGATTGTTAGTCCATTATTTATACACTGAATTGACGACGGATTTTCCTGATTGTGACAAGGAGCACACGCGACGGGTGTGACTGGTCGGCAGGGGTTGCTTACTCCTCTATGGCAACTGATCCCATGCACTTGTTATGTTTTAGAAGTCCGTGTTTGCTCTGCTCCAATTTTGTATTGTTTCATGGTCTTTTCATCTTGAATATCGCTTTCATCAAAAAATGAATAAAAACCAAAATTGAATTATACAAAAAAAGGTTTTTATTTTTAGAATTGCTGGTAAGGTTGGGGTGTGTGGGTTACATTAATTTTAAAAGCATAGATATTGACAATACATAAAACTTTGTGTGGTTATGTTAGTGATATAGCAATGGTTTCAGAAGTTTACATTACGAAAACATGAGAGTTTTTTTTTAATCTGAAAAGTTAGCAAAATAAAAAAAAAGTCCATGTCTTAAAATTTACGAGCACCTTACGACAACAAAAAATGAGGAAAAGGGGGGGGGCGATCAACAGCCGAATAGACAGGATACTATAGGAAAAATACAATATATATATTCAGAAAAGAACAGGGGGCAACATTGTATCCTTTTTCAGGATCTTCTAAAACGAACGTATATACAGTACGATGCTAACTCCGATATTTAAAGGTACTTGGACACAGATTTGAAGTTAATATTTTCTCATTTTTTCTGTATAATATCACGAATTATATTATCTTAATAGCATTTCACACAAAAATTAATTAAAAATCTTATTTCGTTTAAAAGTTATTAAAACTTTAAATTTTTTGTCGGGTTTGATTGACACATCCTTGCACTTTCACAAATTTTAACTTTATTCTTAATCCTTAGGAAAAGTGGCAATTTTGATGTGTTTTAATGAGAAATATGAAAACTTTTATCAAGAAAAATAATTTTATTCAGAGTAGAAATGTTAGAAAGCAAAACACCTTCACAAGTATCGTCATTCCAGACAAAGAGATGCGTGTAGAGTATAGCAAATCGAGCACACTCGTTTTTGTAAACAGGGCTCGAGTTCTGTTATATTGTTTATTTTTAGAATTCACCGGGTGCGTTCAATCGTCACAGTCTGCTTACCACAACTGCACGGACTGACAATATATTGTGTGTTTATTTTGCTTTCGAACGTGTCTACTCTGATTTTTCTGGATTATAGTATTAATATTTTTCATTTATACAAAACGAGATTGCCACTTTTCCTAAGGATTAAAAATAAAATTAAATTTGTGAGAGTGCAACGATATGTCAATCAAACCCGCCGAAAAATTTGAAATTTCAATATCTTTTAAACGAAATAAGATTTTTAATTAATTTTTGTGTGAAATGCTATTAAGATAATATAATTCGTGATATTATACAGAAAAAATGAGAAAATGCTATTAAAATATATAAGTCGTAATATTATAGAGAAAATAATAACTTCAAATCTGTGTCCAAGTACCTTTAAAAGATTTTTATTGCTTATATGAAATAGAAATGTAGAATAAGTTTTTATCTATAAATAAAATCTAATGGACTTGTGCGTTTGGACATGCCCAGGAGTCTCGCACAATAAATATAGTTTAATTTTTTCTTATAAAATTGTATATTTCACGCTTTAATTTTTATTTCCGACTTTTCTGAAATCATCTTATTTTACAACAAATGTATCCAGCTTGTCCAATGCATTATTTTAAATTTCTTGGATGATTTTGAAGTGCGGGTACATTTTTAAAATTACTTATGTTAGTTTTTCCATAGACCGAAAGTGCATAATTTTCTTCAATATCCAAAAAGTATAAATTTTGACCAAAAAAAGTTTAAAGAAAGATGTTCTTAGTACAAGTTAGGAGCGGATCAACGATCTATTTATAAACTATTTATATCAGTTGAATAAAAAAAATCATCTTGCTACAATGTATATGAATAATATTTTAATCCTATATAGACTTACATGTATATATTATATACATCCATAAAACATGTAAAAGTTTGATCCACTATACTGCTACTGATTGTTTTCATCGGTGACTCGATCCGTTACCTTGTCTATTTTATTTTTAGATCAGGGATCTGACGTCATATTCTAGTAAATTCTAGGTCGTCCGAGAATCAGCGAGACTTGTCATGGGAAGTTACTAAACGCTTTGCAGGTTGACGATTTAGATCAGTGTTATAGAGCAGCGAGTTTATTAAGAAGGGATTTTTTTGTGAAGTGCATTAGTGAAAAATGGGGAAAGACTACTACAAAATCCTCGGAATTACTAAAGGTGCATCGGAAGATGAAATTAAGAAGGGCTACAGGAAAATGGCGCTGAAATATCACCCAGATAAAAACAAATCGCCGGGAGCCGAAGAAAAATTCAAGGAAATTGCAGAAGCATATGACGTACTGAGTGACCCAAACAAGAAAGAGATTTACGATAAGTATGGCGAGGAGGGACTGAAAAACGGACCCCCTCCCGACAGTGGTTTCCAGGGATCCGCGCCTGGTGGTGGCAACTTCCACTATGAATTCCAAGGGAATCCAAGAGACACATTCCGTATGTTCTTTGGAGGGGACGACCCATTCGCAAGCTTTTTCGGAGGCGGTGGTGGCGGACCGGGACGTGGATTTGGTGGTCCCGGTGGTGGTGGCGGTCCACGTATGTTTCATTTCGGTGGCCCCCAGGGTCAGGAGGACATGGATGTTGACGATAACCCGTTCGGGGGCATGGGCGGTATGGGGGGCATGGGTGGAGGGCGACCACAAAGAAAAAGACAGGACTCCGCAGTGGTGCGCGAACTACCAGTGGCGCTAGAGGACATTTATAAAGGTGCCACGAAAAAGCTCAAAATTACTCGTAAAGTGCTAAATAATGATGGACGTACAACAAGAACAGAAGATAAGATCTTGACAATTGATATAAAACCAGGATGGAAAGCAGGAACAAAGATAACATTCCCAAAGGAGGGTGATCAAACCCCCAACAACATACCAGCTGATGTTGTCTTTGTTATAAAAGACAAACCACATAGTATATTCACAAGGGAAGGCAGTGACATTCGCTACAAAGCCAAATTATCGCTCAAAGATGTAAGTTAACTTTTCACTTTAAATTATAAATATTTTCAGTCTGTAATATATTTTGATTTATTGAAAGCTGTTTTTCAAAAGCTTGCTGGAATAAAATATTGATTTTAATATCTTGATGATAACGACTAGTAAAATATCAGTTTGAAAGCAGGTAAATATGCATGAGAAAGTATATTTATATTATTGAATTAGAAAAAAAATGATTCTACTGTATGATTAATGTTTATTTTGTAGGCTTTATGTGGAACTACTCTACAAGTCCCAACAATTGATGGCAGGAAAATCCCCCTACGTTTACGAGAAGTCGTGAAACCTCATTCGGTCAAGCGGATACAAGGCGAGGGATTACCTATACCAAAACAGCCAGGAAAACGTGGTGACTTAATAATCGAATTTGACGTTGTGTTCCCAAACCAGATCACAAACACTGCAAAAGAAATTCTGGCGGACTGCCTGCCTTCGTCGTGAATGCAAAGAACACATATCAAAAAATTTTATGAATATTGTATAAATGTGTATGTATGTATAAAGAAAGGTGAAAAACCCCAGACAATGTGAGAGTGCTAAATGTAGACCTACACAAACTCGTTAACATAAGACACTGATAAACCATTGTTTTGTATCAAGACGTTGCGTATGTGATATATTGCTGCAGGGATTGTGTGCTATATTCAGGAGTGCCGATGTATGCACTGCATCTCATGCTTGAATTGTTGTAGAAGTGCTGATGAGTGTATATTTATGGCTGTGGGTGTTCACATTGCCTTGAGATGCTCTGTTTTGTTTTTAAGAACCAATTATAATGATGAGAAAATGTATAAAAATGTTTCTGGAAGCATGTCTTGTTTTCATTTTTTCTTGAGGTGAGCACAGATGTGAAGACAGTGCTTTTAGTGTCAAAAATGCCGAATCAGATATGTAGAATTTTTCTTTAGTTGTAAACTAAAAGGCCAGGACTGGCATGCAAGATATTATTTTGAGTAGTTGTACAGTTTGTTTAGTTTTGACTGAAGTACAGTTTGTGCAGTTTTGACATGCCCTATACTATATGGGTTTCACTGATTACTGATATGAAAATATTAAAATCTGACTTCTATGGTGGGATTCTGTAATTTTGGTTGAACGTAATCATTGGTTCTAACTGCAAGATTAATCTGGAAAAAAAAGTTGATGAATCTGTCTTTTTAGCTCACCTCAACAAAGTTGGGGGGAGCTTATGTGATACCCTCGGCGTCGGCGTCCCGGGTTAAGGTTAAGTTTTTTGGAGCAGTTTTCTTTTTAAGTACTTCTATGTCCTATATTGATTAGACATGCATGGAAGATGTTTCTAGTGTGTTTCATTGTACCAGTCAAAGTTTCAGATGCTGCAATTTCAGCAAAGGAATGACCAGGTTAATGTTTTTGGAGCAGGTTAACATTTTTGGTGCAGTTTTTGGTGTAGGTCTCATTTCCGAGTAACTATAAGCCCTATGTTGACCAAACTTGCATGGATGGTACATCTTAGGGTGCATTCTACTAGACTTGCATCGGATGCTGAATCTGACCTACATTTTCCGGTTGAGTGAACAGGTTAAAGTTTTTGGTGCAGGTTTCATTTCCAAGTTACTATGAGACATATAATGACCAAACTTGCATGGATGATACATCTAAGGATGCATACTACCAGTCTTGCTTCAGATGCTGAATCTGACCTACATTTTCCGGTTGAGTGAACAGGTTAAAGTTTTTGGTGCAGGTTTCATTTCCAAGAAACTTTGAGCTCTATAATGACCAAACTTGCATGGATGGTACATCTAAGGGTGCATTCTACTAGGCTGGCTTCAGAAGCTGAATCTGACCTACATTTTCAGGATTAGTGAAAAGGTTAGTTTTTTATACAGGTTTCATTTCCAAGTAACTTTGAGCTCTATGTTGAACAAACTTGCATGGATGATACATCTTAGGGTGCACACTAATGGACTTGCTTCAGATGCTGAATTTGACATACATTTTCCAGATAATAGACCTTGTAAAAGTTATGGGTGCAGGTCTATCACGAAGAAACTATAAGGCTTATATAAACCAAAGTTGCACAAATGATGCATCAAGGGATGAAAACTCTCAATCTTGCTTCAGATGCTGGATTTTAATTACATTTTCATGATGAAGAACAAGTTTGAAGAATTATACATCTATTCCAAAGTATCAAAATGAAAATTGCATAAATTTTGCATTTTTGGATGTACACTTTTTGTTGGTTAATTGTGTGACTTAATTTGCCTTACTTAAAGACAACATTTGTTGAGGTGAGCTCTGTAATCTCTGATTACCTATGTTTTTCTGTTGGAGACACTAGAAGCTCTACATATAGATTCTTACTGACCATACATGTAGTATTGTGGATGTGAGATCAGTTCTAGATTAAAATAGCTGATTGTGATAGATTAGACCAGGCAATTCTGTACAGTACATCACCATGGCTGTCAAAGTGATTCAGGTCATTTGGATACTATCATAGGTGTAGAGTAGGAAAATTATTATTCCTACTCCACATTAATTATTGCCAAGAAAAAAATAATTTAGAAGAAGTCTGATGACTCTTCACCTCAGTAGCAAAGTGGAATGGGGCAAGACAAGGGATGTTCATAATAGACCATATTGCTTAGGATTTAATAGCTGGTGGTCCATGACCTAAATTCAATTCATCTGTGCAAGGTCAAGGTTATTGGAAATATTGAAAATGTATCATTATACCTTGATCCAAAGTCATCTTCACAAGTTCAAGGTCACTGACTGGTATTAATCTGATAATGTTCTATGGAAAGATGATATTAAAAAGTCAGAGATTTTGCTTATGATTTGAAGGTGTATTCTGACCTTGACATTTGGAAAGTAAAATATAGAATGCTTGTCCAGATCACGGTATTTT